TTTTTTACGAGGCTTGTTGATGCTATTTACCATTTATCTCTTAGTACGAAGATGATGAAGGCGATAAAGTCCTGCTCACGACGGATGGAGATCTTATTAGTGCCATAACCCATGCAAGATCTGCCGGACAAAAGGTGACAACAATAATGATCTAAAATTGCTGCCAAAACCTTAGGAGACTAAAATATCTCGTTAATGGTGATTAAATATCTTGTGTTATTACCAGGTCTTAAGGCTACATTTAGATTACCACGATTCAAATCTCGAAACAGAGCAGCCATTGGCTGAAAAGATCGAGATTGCAGAGAAAGCTGGGCCCGCCTCTATAAGTTACGGGATATTTGCAGGTGCACTCGTTCTCACAGGCTTTGGTGTGTTGGTCTACTTGAAGCGCACAAAAAATTGATGCCTTGCGTAGGTATATATTATTTGTTTTGAGCAACAGAAAATTTGGAATAATGCTTTTGTTGCAAATATTCTATCAAGTAAGATGAATATCCCGTGTGACCGCAAATTTTCGAAAGTTTTGTGAAAATCTGGAATCATCTGTAGCATGGGGACCATAAATGGGAAAATGAGGTTAAGTGAAATTGGAGAGGCAAACAGAAAGGGAAATAATGCAGGACCTTAAAGCTGGCCAAACACTTTGATATGATCTTTGTGTTGTTTTATGAGCAGCTACAAGTCAACTGCTAGCGGTTATATTACTTGTCTGATTTTACTGAAGAAATATTGTCATTGTATAGTGAATGTATCTTCAATTTCTTATTGCAGGTGTGTATCTTGTGAGCATATGATTAATCCAATCATGATGACCTAATTATCCTACTTAAAGTTATAGGGTTTTCATAAGATGAAATTGCTGCATATGAATACCCTCATAACTTGGGTATAAAGGTATTACAAATACATATAACTACCAATACATATAGCGGTATTACAAATACATATAACTTGGCTCCGTAGAATTTCTGAATGCATAACTTGTGTTTGCAATACTTCAGTTCAAACTCTTGAGAATGAAAGAACACAAAGGATGTATGAAATTTGTAAAAATTGGTGTAGGGATGATGGATTTCAAATAATTTGATTTAAAATGTTAATGGGGGTAGTTAGAGATGCAAGGAGTTATAAGATTTTGGTACCTCAGTGGTAGATGATGGATTCATCAAAGATTTTACCCTTTCGGACTTTGTCTAAAGGCCTAGGAAACAAAGAGAAGGTGTGCATGAAGGAGATATCAACTCTGTAAAAT